TCCAGGTTGGCTGCTCCAGGTTGGCTGCTCCAGGTTGGCTGCTCCAGGTTGGCTGCTCCAGGTTGGCTGCTCCAGGTTGGCTGCTCCAGGTTGGCCTACTCATACAGATTCTTAAACCTGTTTTAATAACTCTGTGTGGTCAAGCAAATGTTTTAGCAGCACAGCAAATAGTTCTTTCTGTGGAAACACAAAATACATTGTGATGCTGAAGATTTAATTTTGGAGTCAAGTGACTCTCTAAAAGATGGGCTCTTTGTCAAGGTTTTAAAGCAAACAGAGTGGGATTTTGTGGTGAGTGYTGCTGATAAAGCTTTGGAGGATTTGCTTAATGAAATCCACCCTTTTGTTAGAACTTCCTYTTGAAAAACTGTGCAAACAAGTGTTTTGGAGATCCAAATTGGAAAATGCTATTGTCTTAGTCTCAAGATGTGCTTGAAAAGGTTTGCCGGATTTGTATTTGATTCGTTTTGATTGGTCATGGCTTTTCAGTGCACTGGAAAATATTTTCTGTGAGGACTGAGTGATTCAGGTGTATTTGAGGTTTGTTATGTGTGTTTTRAGAGATGTTCCGTCTTGAAATTCCGCTCGAATATAAAATCTGAGCTGGTACTTACTTGCCACTAGTGTTATCTGGTCTTCAGAAGATGCCATATGTATTTATTTCACAAAAAGCTGGGCTCAGTCTTTCTAAGAGACTTACGTGTATCTACAAATGTGACTTGATTTAATATGCTCTAACTTCCTCTAAGTGGTAGCATTGTCTGTGATTTATGTGAGGTAGAAAGGAAATATCTAGTTATTTGTGGCTTCCGGGGAAGGTGGTTTGGGTTGATAGCTTTATCTCTCTTGTGGAACTTCATGTGAGGAAGCCCTGAGTCAAGTAGTGGAGGCTGTTGAGTACCAGCGGTTTTTGCTGCCATATAGTCTTTAAAGACAAGGACCATACGTTTGGTTTTAGGATGTAAAGATTGCAGTAAAATCATGTAGAATGGAATAATAAATGTGAATGTGGCGCTCYGTAGTGCCTCCCGACAGATACTGTGAAAACCTGAAACATCTGTCTATATTCACTGATGTTTTTGAGAGCTGTGTTTACCCTGACATAATGTTTGAGATCAATCACTTGAGCACTGTTTGTCAGAAGAAATATCCTTTTTTTTTGTTAAACATAGAAGTGTTAGATAACAACATGTATTTTAAGTTAAAATATATCTTGACTAAAACTGTTTGGCTGTACTTGTTTCAGAGAAGGAATAAGAATGARAAATTTTTGACCTACTGGAATATGTAAAAAGTAAATATACTTGACAGAGTAGGAATATACATTTTTAAAAGATGACTTTTTTTGCGTTACTCCCTTGTTCCTACTAGTAGCTTTCAGAGATGCTTTTTTGATGTATACAACTAGTCATGTAAGTACAAATCTGTGCACATTTTTTAAAGAATTTTTGCAGATTTAAATACAGCATTTGTCATACAAATGCAATAAACACTTCTCAAACACAAATTCAACAGTGCAAATCTACTTATCTTCTACACGTGTTTTTTAGTCAAGTGGACTTGTCTAGTAGCAGCTTTGACTTCCCCTTGCAGGAGTGACGGGTGGTTATGAGAGTGGTGAAAGGGAGCACACAAAGTGAATCCAAGTCACAGGTATGTGAGGGAGGGAGGTCTGGTGTAATCTAAGTGAAGCCCAACTGACATAGAAGATGTAGGGAATACTGATCTGTGCTTTCATTGTCCATAGTGTGTGTATATCATATGTGTTTCTGTAATTTCCACCTCTAATGTCTAGGCTACCAAGTAATGAATTGGTTATTTAATGGTTGTGATCTTGACCACCTACTAAGTCCGAAAATGAGCATTTGAATAGTTGGGCTTATCACAGTACACCTGGTGTGTGCTAAGAACTGGATATTGCCATGCAATATCCCCAGTAAGGAAAACATTGGGATATTGGGAAAAATGAAGAACTTCATTTTGCGCACACAGCGAATGTGTGTGAAATCAGCAGCGATGCTTGTGGCTGCTCTCCCTGCCTGGCCAACTCTAGGCAGTTTGCTGCTGTATTAATAGAGATGCAGACTTGATATTTTGAAATATAAGACTGAACACAAAGGTGGAGTAGTCATGATAAACGCTGTGGGAGTTGAACATACATTGACAAAAACATAAGCAGCATTTGGCTGAAGTGCTGTGATTCACCTGCTTAAACGCATGAGTTTTGCCACCTGGAATTTCAGGAAATACTCTGAGTGTTTCAGGSAAGACCTTTTAGTGTTTTAGGAGTGGTTAAAGATTTTAAGATATATTTGAAGACTTTTTTCACTTTTCTGTCAGCTGAAAGATGCTGGTTATTGCAGGAACCAGCTTGGTTGAATATCAGCAATCTCTGGAAATGGACTAGTTCATAACTCGAATATTAATTTTCTAATCAGTGATGTGTCAGAAAAGCTAGAAGGGACATTTGGTGCAGTTGAGATCTTTTCTTCCACATCTCTGCTGCTTGCACAGCTTGCCCTGGTGTCCAACAGTCCCTAATATTTTTCTTTTTTGTCATCAAAGCAGATTGGGTGCACTCAGGAGCTCTGCATTTAACACTCACGTGCCGTCTTTCTCATAGCTACTCAAATTCGAGTGCTGAAGTAGTTACAATCTGAGAAGTTTTCTGAAAGTATCAGTTGACTTTAGGTAACTTGGCTTTTCTCTGCAATTCCTCCAGCCTCAGAGCTGCAGAATATCCTCGTCTCGCCCTGTTCTGCTCGGGCTCGTGCGTCACATCTGGTTGATATTAGAGGCAGGAGCGTAGAGGGGAATTGGCCTTGGCTGGAATGTGAGACGTCCCACAAAATGAGGTTCTCATAAAATTTTGAGCCTTTTCTTTGAGAAAGAATGGCTTTGGGATTCGTGGGTTTTGTTTGCTTTAATGAAGGTAAAAGTTTTAAGGTTATGTTGACTGGAGAGTGAGCCCTTGACTGGATTATCCAGTGGGAATGCATACTCTCGTTCTGTTTTCTTGATTTCCTAGATTTTAAGCGTCTTAAATTTTTTTTATTTGTGAGACAATTAAGTATCAACTAGTTAGAAGTGCAGGTACTTGTTCAGAGAATTGAACCAAGGAAGACACATTTAATAACTCTAGAAATGGAAAAAAAAAAAAAAAATTTTTTTGGATACCTCCAGATACTTTTCTCTCTATTCCTGTTTATTAAGTAGTAGTAATCTTAATACAGAAGGTGAAATTCATGAAAAGTACAACAAATGGAAACACGTACGTTGTCTAAAGCTGTAAAAGCGTGTTTTGATTCCAAGGTCACTGTTCTGTAGCATTCAAGATGAATTCTGCCACTTCAGTATTTTGTGAAGATAACTTGCTGTTATTGTGTGCTGATGTCATGAGCTTCCTTGGCATTCACAGCAGTGTTACAGAGTGATCAGTGTGCATCTGTTTGGTCACCACAGGGCAGGTATACCAGAAGCCCAGAGGATTCTTAAATAACTTGAAATGACCAAACCCAACYAATAAGACTGTGTTTGTTCTGTAAGATTATATTTGCTTACTTGTTATGATTTCCGTAACTAAAGCCAGCTGCCAAGATGAAGC